CCACGAACAACCCGAGCAGAGGCACGCAGGCCTCTATTTATACCTTCTGATCCCCGGGCAATTCCAACCAATCACAAGGCGGTCTTTTCCCGCCTTGCACATGCGCGCAAGGCCGGCGCCACTCAGTCTGGTCCCGGGCAGCTTTTGCAAATGCCCGGGACTCTTGCAACGTCCCGAGCCTGCTTTTGCAGGCTCAGGATACAACAGCCACTAAGACACTACTTTAGTAATTCAAGAGTCTGTCAATGAAAGTTTTCAAGTTGAGACTAAGGTTCAATCTATCAGGGATGCTTTCAATTTAGATTCCTGCTATAAGAAGCATATTGATCTAGAAAGATTGTCTAGTATTTTATGCTGACATTGGATTGTTAAAGATGGGAATTATTTTTACTGCTGTACAATTCATAATGGGAGAAGTTTAATGTTAAATTATTGCATTTTTCCCTAAGTGTTTGAAAGTTAAACAAAATGTTTACTAGTTTACTTGTTTATTATACCTTTATAAAAAACAAACTCCTTTTAATTAAAAGGTTTCCACATATGTGTATCTTTATAGTGACAACCAATGTAAATGTGGATATTTGAAATCACAACACACAGAAGAGATGCAGATTAACCATAATGAGAAATGGAATTATAAAAAACATACTAAAGAATTCCCAACTGATGCTTTTGGAGACATCGAATTTGAAAATTTGGGTAAGACAGGAAAGGTAAGATAATCACCTGTCTTTTTATTTTGTGTTTTCTTTTTATGTCAAGCTTTGAATGACACAATTTTAAGAGAAATTGGATTGAGACTGTATGCACCCAATGTAAACATAAGCAGCATTATTTATTTATTTATTTATTTATTTATTTATTTATTTATTCATTCATTCATTCATTCATTCATTCATTCATTCATTCAATTTCTGTAGCCACCAAAAGCGAAAAGCCAGCAGGGTACATTCTAACCTCCAAGGGGGGAATAATCCATAAGGCAGGGCTACAGCAGCTACTTCCCACCAGTCAACATTCTTTGATCTGATTTGATCTGCAGCATGCCCAATCTGTTGAATCAGTTTGGACAAATAGAAACTCTCAGAAACATTACAAAATACAATAAATTACTCTCTTGCAAAAATTACCAAGATTCTTGGAGATTTCTTTTTTCTCATTCTTTTTGAATCTCTCTCAATCACATGGTTTGCTTAGCAACAATTTTGCTGGAATCAAGTGGGTGCTAAATGAGGACAGACTGTATAATGAAAAAAAGGATACTCAAATTCCATTCAAAATATGGTAGCATGAAGAAATCCCATATTGGAACAGCTGTTAAACATTTATTTTTCCTTCCTATTAAGATGTTGTAAAGGGGCACAAGGAAACTTGTACATGGATTAAGAGCTTCTAGAACAAAATTCAGTGTTATATATAAAAATCTGCTTGCATAACAAAGAAATTTTCATCAGAAGTAAAGGACAGTGTAAATGGGAAGCCACTGATGAAACGAGATATATCTATTTCGCATGAATTGGAGACTTTTCCCATTGTAACAATTGTTTTTATTTCTTAGTACATTCGTCTGTCGTGTGACACAGACTCTGAAACCCTCTATGATCTAATGACACAACACTGGCATCTAAAAACACCCAACCTCATCATCTCTGTCACAGGTGGAACAAAAGTTTTTGCTTTAAAGCCACGCATACGTAAAATTGTCAGCCGGTTGATTTATATTGCGCAGTCCAAAGGTAAAGTTGGCCTTTTTTTCTTAAACTTGGCCTAGCAAAAAACAAATAAGCTTTAATAGGTTAAATATGGAGCAGAAAAGGAGGGGAAGTAGATCAAATATGGAGTAAATACTCCAGCCTTTAAAAATAAACTGATTTTATTACATTATAAACTATTTCTGATTAAGCATGCTGAGATTTCTTGCCTAGACTTTTATTAATTATCAAAATAAGTAAAATTTGGCAGGATGCAAGTTACTTTTTTAAGTATATTATTTGTCTGCTTTGAGTTGTGAAATCCAGAATTAATATGTACGCTGCCTGTCCAAGCGACGGAGGGAATTTATTTGCAAACAGTAAAATATTTAAAGGGTAAAGTTTAATCAATATATCTGTGTCTGGTAGTTAAATGGAACATGTTTTACTAGAAAAATATTTCTGAATGGTTTTGCTGATAAAACATGAGGGGTAATTAGAAGGAGATGTTTTTATGTTTATTTTTTAATATTATCTAGATAATTTTTCCTTTATTTGTATTCCCCATACTGTAATGAAATCTTCTTCACTGTCATTTAATTTTTCATTCTATTTTTATTGATTGCTCTTTACTATTTTGCAGTGCCAAGTTTTGCATCCTATCTGATATTAAATGGAATTTAATATAATTTAGTCTAAAATTATTTTCACCTCAATAATAGCAGAAAGACTAAAGAAATTTTTGACCAAATTTATACATACAGATCAAAATGGTTTTCTACCTAAAAGATAGATAAAAAATAATTTAAGAATGATTTTTGACGTGTTAGAGTACTATAAAATTCATCCAGGAAAACAGATGGCTTTAATATTTCTTGATGCACAGAAAGTGTTTGACAATGTAAACTGGCAATTTATGTTTCAGCAACTAATGGAAATGGATTTTGGAGAAAACTTTATAAATGTAATTAAAACAATTTATTGTAAACAAACAGCCAAAATAATTGTAAATGGAGATTTTACAGAAAACATTAACATTAAAAAAGGCACAAGACAAGGATGCCCACTATCTCCATTATTATTTATACTGATTTGGTTGTTGAGAGTGTGGTTGCGCGGCAGTTCCCTCGGCACCTGGATGAAACAGACTATCTAGACCCATACCAGTCGGGCTTCAGGCCGGGACACAGCACGGAAACGGCATTGGTCACGTTGGTAAATGATCTCTGGAGGGCCCGGGACAGGGGTTATTCCTCTGTCCTTGTGCTTTTGGACCTCTCAGCGACTTTTGATACCGTGGACCACGGTATCATGCTGCAGCGTCTCGGTGAGTTAGGAGTGGGAGGCACTGTTATGCAGTGGTTCTCCTCCTTACTCACCGACCGTACGCAGTCTGTATTGGCAGGGGGACAGAGGTCGACTCCTAGGCCCCTAACTTGTGGGGTGCCTCAGGGGTCGGTCCTCTCTCCCCTACTGTTCAATATTTATGTGAAGCCGCTGGGAGAGATCATTCGGGGCTTTGGGGTGGAGTTCCATCAGTACGCTGATGACACTCAGCTGTACATCTCCACCC